AGTACTTTTTATGAAGCCAATTATGTTTTATGTAGCTAATCATTTTATAAAATGGTGCCTTAAAAAATATGGAGTGCTTTTTATGAAGCCAATTATGTTTTATGCAGCTAATCATTTTATAAAATGATAAAAAAAGGCTTCATGAAAAGCGCTCCATGTGTTTTAAGGCACCATTTTATAAAATGATTAGCTGCATAAAACATAATTGGTTTCATATCTTAAGCACCATTATATAAAAAAACAGTAGCTCATTATTGGCAGTAATGGCACCCCATAGAAACTTCCCTCGCATTTTGAACACGTACATTTCAGCTCTAAATTTTCTTGTCTTCCAAAACACAGATACTTGGCGGGAGATGGCACTGAGAAGACAAAGACGGTGATAAAGGGAGCAACGAAGACGATGACAAGGATGCCATCGATGGACCTGAGGATGATGAAGATTTGGGCGACGATGACGAAGAGATGGACGACAAATCCTACCTGGCGCAAGTTGCAAACATTCAAAAACAAGCCTGCCAGCGATTCGCAAATTTGCAGCATAAAGAAGTCCACATCCTCAACACATTTGAAAAGATTAAGTGGATTAGTCTCGTTGCATTTTTTTGGGAGTAACTGCAGAATACCCTGCCACTAATTTACATGTCATTGAATAACAATAGCCTCTGGTAAGTTCTCAATAATATTACTGTCACATCGGAGAAGACGCAACTGAATCCCACTCTACACACTGTATCATTTGCCACAGTCATTCAAAGCACGTGCTCGTTGAGGCAGTATGCACGGAAAGTTCAGAGATCATTTAAAAATTAAACAAGACTTACCTGTAAGTTGAAGTTTGATTGTAATTCTACCGATCCATATAGTCATAAGGGGATTACGTGAGATTGCACCGTTTACCAGCCCAGCTCAAATTTTAACGTCGAATGGTCACATAAGTATTAGGGTCGGGTTCTGACCACTTTGTGTAAATAGACAAGGCATGACAAGGGAGGGCACGTAATCCCCTTATGACTATATGGATCGTTAGAATTACAATCAAACTTCAACTTACAGGTAAGTCTCGTTTAATTTTTAAATTCTACCTCACCATGACGTCAGTCGGGGATCACGTGAGATTTTAAAGCAATTTGACCAGTAGACGAACTCCAAAGAACTGATTACAAAGATGTATAAATCAGAAACATGTAATAAAAGGGAATTGAGACAGTTACAATTCATTTGTTTTATTTAGAACATCATCAGCAAAGGAAGATTCCTGGGTATTGTTAACCTTGTTATAATATTTACTAAGAGTAAAGGCATTAGACCATCCTTCTGCAGATAATATTATGTCCATAGGAGTGTCTCTGGCCTTAGCAGCACTAACAGAGGCTGCTCTTGTACTATAAGCCGTAAATTGGCTAATATCAATGCCTGAATTGCATAAAACACTTTTTAGCCAACGGCTATTTGTGTCCCATGAGACAGCACCACGTGGTTAAGCAAAACTTACTAATAGCTGTGATTGCTCCTGTGTCCTTAAAGGTTTAGTAACTTCCAGGTACTTTGTCAAATAATGGCAAACACATAACCTCTTATCCAGTGCATAAGCCTTGAAGTTAAGGTTCTTTAAATGTCTGCCTGGTCTTGTCTGCTTAACCTTGCAGGGTATAATAAATTCAACAGTAGAAGTACAAACCTTCATATGTTCAATGTCTAAGAGCTGAACAGTCTGGATTCTCTGACTAGATACCAACAGGAGTAACATTGTTAACTTGAGAGTCACATCTTTAAGGGTCAGCTTTGATGCTGGACTAAAAGTTTTCAAATAGTTCAACGCAACTTTAACATCCCAAATACTTGTATATTTAGGCAAAGTAGGGCGTGTCTGGAAGGCCCCTTTTAAAAATCGAGTAACTAGAGGATGATTACCAATGCTTATGTTTCCAGGCAAAGTGATGATAGTTGATAAGACACTACGTGCAGTATTGAGAGTACTGTAACTACAATTAGACTCAAATAACTCTGTCAGAAAGTCAAGTACTTCAGCTACAGATGGAGGAAATATATCAATGTTCCTTCTACAGCAAAACCTTTGCCACTTCTGCAAATGTCCCTTGTACTGCTTTTGGGTAGATTGTCTCCAAGAGGCCATGATGACCTTGAGTGTGTTTTCTGAAAGACCTTTGTTCTGCAAGGGTTGCCGGATATATGACATGCCAGAAGGACAAGTTTCGGCCAAAGGGGATGTATTTTCTCCATTTTGTATGGAAGTTTCAGTATGCTCTTCCTCTGAGGTAGTAACAGAGGTGTAGATACTACCAACCGCATGACTCTGGGAAACCATGGTTGAGTGGATCAATTGGGCACTATTATTATTCCCTCTGCCTGGTCTTCCTCGATTTTCTGCACCATTCTGCCTAACAAGGTGAAAGGTGGGAAGGCATAAAAGACATAACAGCTCCAATCTATAGTAAATGCATCAACAGCATAAGCCCCTGGGTCTTGTTTCCAAGAAACATATGTGCTGATCTGATTGTTAATTCTAGAAGCAAAGAGATCAATTTCTGGTTTTATTAACATTTCATTGACAATCCTTCCAAATATATTCTTGTCTAGCATCCACTCAGTATTATCATGAAACGCTCATGAAGCTTTATCAGCTGCCACATTTTCTACTCCAGGTAAATGTGCTGCACTAAGCCACATATTCCTGCCTATACACCATTGCCAGATTTCACGGGAAAGGTCATTACATTGCAAAGAGTGGCTACCCCCCATATTATTCAAGTAGGCAACAGCATTAGTGTTATCAGTCACAAGACATGCATGTTCGTGTTGGGGATCTGAACAAAAACTTTTGATGGCAAAGAATGCTGCTTTCATTTCCAGCAAATTGATATGATGCTGTGACTCTTCATAGGTCTATCTACCCCCCAATTGATATGCCATTGCAAACAGTACCCCATCCCAAAAGGGAAGCATCAGACTCTATCACAATATCTGGGTGATCATGAGTGACTGGTTTAAGAGCAGTATCAATATTTTCATAATACCATACAAGCTCTTGCCGAGGTTGCTCAGACAATGATAGGAGCATCAAAATCTCCTTTTGCTTCCTTGAGTGCAGCAGTCTTGTCTGACTCAAGGCAACGATAGTGGAGAGACCCATATAAACAACCTGGGAAGGCTGCAACTAATTTTCCAACGACCTTTGCTAAGTCACGAATAGATGCACTATTCAATTCTAAAGTTTTCTTTATTATATCTTTTAGAGAAGACTTTCTTTTGTCAAAGAAACAGACATTTGTTTGGAATTTAGGGTGAAACCTAGAAAACAGCTCCTGAGTAGGCAGCTCAACAGATTTAACAGGATGAATCACAAATTCCAATTTAATAAACAATTCAACATTCTCATTAACATTAGAGAGACAGTCACCAAAATCATTACCCTGAAGGTAAGAATCATCAATATATGCCACTGACAAGAAACCTCTTGACCTTAGAGTGCTATAGACTGGTTTTAACAATTTAGTAAATAACCTGGGAGCACAAGCAAGACCATTTGGCAAGCAAGTAAATTTATACAATTGATTGTTCCATGAGAACTTTAGAAACTTCTGATAGTTTGCATCAATTTTGACCAAGTAATAAGCCTCTCGTAAATCAATAGAAGCCATAAAACAGTCCCTTTTCATCATCTGAATAACAGACTGCAAAGAAACCATTTTAAAAGGGTGGTAAGCAACATTCTTATTGAAATTTTTCAAATTCAAAATAAGCCTGTATGAGCCATCTTTTTTGGGTGTAACGAAGAAGTTTGACAAAAATTCCCCTTCATATTGACAGAGAACAATAACTCCTTTCTCAAGGAGTCTACTAATTTCAATTTCGATGAATTCAGCCTCCTTACAGGTGACTCTTATAGGCTTAGGTATTCTTAATTGGTAAGGGGGGCCTCTATTAAATTCAATTTTGCAGCCCTTGACAATATCAAGTATACTAGAATCACTAGTTAAAGTTACCCATTCATTTATATAGCTGTGAATTCTACCAGTTTTGAATGATATTGCCTGTGCTTCCTGGTTAACCTCAGTCACACTAACCTGGTTAATTACTTCTGTACTTTCTCCTCCTCCTCCTTCCTTGAGGGGATAGGTGTACATCTGCTTCTGGTTGTTCTGATATTTGTTGTGACTGGTCTGGGACTTCCACCCAGACCTCCATTCGTTTTTTCGATGAGTAATGCTTGCGACTATCATATTGGTAAGACATGTGTTTCTTTTTAACAGGTAAGGTATTGCCAACCTTGTTTGTAGCATTGATACCCTTTCTTCTGTGGGAGGTCATCCCCAAATAGATTATCAGTTAACTCAACTTGATCAGAACATAGCTGCTGGTATGCAGTATTCAAGTCGGGTTTAATAAAATCCCGACGTTTATGGCTAATTTCACTTCAGCATGAGATATAAAGCCAATGCTATCGAACAATGCTTTAACTGTCGGGTTGTTTTTCTCGTTCTTGACGAGTGTGTGAGCAAGCCCGACGAGCACCGTTGTTGCTTTGATCAACATGGTTTGGATTTTCTGAAGCTTGACATGTCCTAACTGCATCCAACTCGTCAATGGCGGTCGGACGTGAAAGTGCTGCTTCGCCAAATATCCTTTTGATTTGCTTGTGGTTCTTATGGTTCTTGTTGGCTTACTGTATTTTGCGAAACGAAACGAAACGAAACGAAACGAAACGAGTAAACCCGTACTGTATTTTGCGAAACCAGCTCTTCGAAGACTCTAGCGATATATAACTTATTTCTTCCGATTC